ACTCACATGAGTAACTGAGTACTCACTGAGTAACAATACTCAGAAATTGTTAGTAGTACCAATATGAGTACTCATGGACGAATTATGAGTAAAGTCGTACTCATCGTATGAGTACTTTCACTAGGGTGTTCTTGCTCCAGTTCGTTGATAAATTAAAGAATGAAAGTTCACAATACCACGACGAAAACGACAGAAAATGCGTTTAAATATTTACTTGAAATTGCTGTTGCAATAGTGGTAAAAATTTATTAAGCTCCTGTTTACTTATATACGTTGAATCATATATTTGTTCATCTATAAAGAGATTTTCTAATGTCAACGTTTCATCTTTATGAATAGTGGTTTGAAGAAGATATTGATGAAAAATATTTCGTCCAATTTTAACAGTTGTATTCTTTCGTAAACTCTTCAAATAGCCTAGAAAACTCTCCTCAGAGAAATATGATGTGGTGTAGAGAGCACCATGTTGTCGACATTGATTTGGAAAATACTGTAGTAAATGCACACTATATAGTTCAAATTTGGCTCCATAAATAGCAGCTAATTCTTTCCTATATTGTTGTAAAAATTCTTTAGCATCATCAATCTGTGAAACATCTTCATAGAAATGCAAAATTCTAAACAAAGAGACGCAGAGAAAAGAAAAAAAATATAAAATATTCGACAAACTATCACTCACTAACCTTATTGATAAAAAGAATAAAACAAAATGGTTTGCAATAGCTGCCGGTAAGAATTTTACCACTAACGGCATCGAAATATATAATAAGAAAAACTTCAGTTCTTTTGACTTGTACCATTCCAGGTCAGAGAATGATTTCATTATAACTTTCACATCATGAGGAATCAAAGTCTCTAATACAAAATCACTCATCTGTGTTGCTGTTGTTGATGAGGTGTGACTTAACCATTTCTGTAACAGATGACCAATATGTCCTGAACCACCGCAAACAGCGTGCATGTAATCAAAGATACAATGTTCAGTTACATTTTTATAGATCTTCAACAATGGTGTTAATCCCTTGATACCTTCGACGATGGTGACGTAACCTGGTTTTGAGCGAGAGGCGGCTAACTTTGCTGCATGAACAAAATCGTGTTGTGTTCGTAGAACATGATTGTCGCTGTAAGGATAATAGACTAATGGAGAATTCAATGTGTTGCCTTCCTGTTTGCAGTGTGTACAAGCATAATTTTCATTGAATTGATTAATCTTCCATTTGACAGCTCGACAAGGTAAATCATTCTTATCAGTCTGACATCGAAAATTAAAATTTATAATTTCATTCTTTTCATTTTCAACTGTCAATCCTCTTTGCTTCAGTGTTAATATATCATCAATCAAACGACCGTACATCGATTCTACGGATGGTTGTTTCCTTCCAAAATACAGACTTAAAAGAATTTTATTTTTTGCGACGTCACGTAATGGTGGAGGGATCTCAAGAATTGTTGCCGTTGTTGCATAACAATGTCTGTGTTTGGTTGTCATTATATTAACTCCATCGGAATGCATCTGAAGAGTGATATGAGGAGAAGAAGTAGATGTGACGTCACGTTTGTACACTTCTCCATTGATAGTATCGTTAGGCAACAGTTCTTTTACACGTGATGGATAAGCTGTGATCAGATGAAGATTGCGTTTAACGACATCAGTTATAGATTTTTCACTGTTATTGACACACAATTCTATTATGCCATCTTCGCTGTGAACTTTTTCATTCAAAGTACAAATGTCACTGCATCTATTAGTGGTAAGATCAAGTTCTGCACTACAATTGGTACAATATGTGTCATAAAAAAATGGTTGCTTCAGTCTTTTGACAATGTGACGTCGATTCAAATTAGTGTGAGGTCGTAATAGATAAAAGATTAAATTCATCAACTTTTTTTGTTGTACATCGTTAAGTTTACACTCGACGATATAGTTCTGGATAGCTTCAACTGCCTCTGAAAGATGAACTTTTGAATTCTCATAGAGATAAGTGTCTGTTGTTATTTCCATCGCATCCTCTTCATTATCTGTAGACTCATCAGAAATCGTCATATGGAAGACCTTGTGGAAGATGGAAGGCTTTCTTCATCACTACTGTCAATACTATGGGATGTAAATGTTTCAATGTTTATGTCGTCGTTGAGTGCATTCGAATAGTTATCACTGGTGGCAGAGGTGCCTGAATGTGTCTGGCTAAACAGCTGCTGCCGTAAACGAATACGATGTTGTGCCTGCCGTGTTGCATTACTACTAACGTCTAGTATAATTAATGGGAAGAAAAAACCAAAAATGTCAATTAAAAGTAGTAAACGAAAAACCTAAACTTCTCGGCCAAATAGAGGCTTAAGTGGCTTCTAATGTATTTCTCAAAACAAAAGTTTTTTGACTAACGAGGGAACCTCTTAGTTAAAATGAGACATCTTCCAGCTCCACACGAGGTTTCTTTGCAAAGTTATACACATTACAAGAAAAGGCCTTAAATTCATTTTTCCTTTTTCTTTCTGTTGTTCTGAGGAGACATTTAACATTTAGGGCTTTTCTTGTAATCTGTATAACTTTGCAAAGAAAGGTCGTATAGAGCTGGAAGACACCTCATTTTGATCAGAATTTCGTGTGCTACAATTGTGACTTATTTAGAAAAAATGCAAGTTTTCGCGCTTGCGTTTGTTAAAAGTATTCGAGTGATTTCGTTTTCGCCGGCAAACAAATGCTTGTTTTACAATATACCTGTCAATTTAAAGCACGGAAATAGCCTCAAGAAAATCTATAGATCCACTTTATAAAAGATATTTTGGAGAAGCTACAACTTTTTACCCAATAATGTCACAGGCTGATCTCTGAATTTTTTCACGATTGTTTATTGTTCATTGGCAATGAACTTCTAAAAATTCTACACTTTTTGATCCTCTTTCTCGGAAGACTTTTACGCTTTGAAACACTTTTTTCGCTTATTTTCTTAATTTTAAGTTAGTATTAGAGGATTTTGTCATTTTGTCCAAATGAGGGTGAATGCTACTATAAAAACCAAACTTTGAGTAATGATGACTGATATGACAAATTTTTTCAAAAAAACAGTGACTTTTATATATCATGTTTTGGCTAAAGAAAATGGATTCTAGTTACGAGATCTCACCGGATGTCCGAACAGACTCCTAATGGAATCCCATACAAAATACGAATCTCGTGGAACTTTTACGGTTTCGACTATTGTCGATAAAAAAGAATTTCTTCCACCATATTCTGGATAACTTCTAATAGAAAGCGAGATCTGCAATTTCTGTCTTTCGACGGCGTAGACTTGACTGAGGTCTACGCTACATGTACTCAAGTCACTTAAGTACATCTTTAAAAATAAGCTTAACTTTTTTCCAAATCAGAGATTCCAAAAGATTCTTGAGAAACATGCTCATGATTGAATAAATTCAAACACAAATATGCTGTTTTTTTGCATACGTCTATAGTCCGGAGTGCTCAATAAAAAATGATAATCAAGCGAGACCGTCGCTGTTAATCGTTCATGTGTGACATCGGATTCGATGGCAGTCAGATGATTAGCGTGACAAGACCAATGGAGATCTCATCTCATAACTGGATCATAAGTAATTGATCATGCCATACATTGTGCCAATATTTGTTTTTATTAAAAGTATGCTACTCTAAGTACAAAATGCATACAAAAAACTGCTTACACATTATATCATCTGCCTCACATATAGAAAAATTTAACAATACAAACGGTTTATGTAACTTTTTCCGATAATAAGTGGATAAAGAGGTTAAACAGGAGAAGTGTGATACTGTACGAATGAGCATAGGTTGAGAAACTCAGTGTTAATCCTACTCCGGATCCGCTGCAACGTCAGATATCGTCGTTAAAACTTAACAGTGAAATGTTTTTACATGTAAAACAAGAGAAAAAACTATGACTTTGGTCTGTCTGATAATATAG